CCGCCAGAGGGAACCCCAGATCTAGGCAGTGGCACGGGCACTCCGCCCCCTTGCAGGTAACGGAGTCTGGTCCGCAACTCCGAGATGGTCCTACCCCCGCAATGGGAGCATGAGTCATCCACGAAAGCCACCTCAGCATGCTTCATGCCCAGGCACGAGAAGCAGCGATCGTGACCATCACCCGGCGCCAGGTATCGACCGCACCCAGAAACACACGGATGGTATGACATCTTTAAAAAGACGCGTCTTTAAAAAGACGTTCCACCCGTGAAGCTCTTTTAGATGGAATTTGCCCTTTTAGTGTGCTGAAGCGCACAGGGGAGATGGCCGTCTGCAACACACACAGGGGTAGTTCCACCAGCACGAGAGCCCACGAAGAGCGTGCTTGACTGTAGCATTACTCTAGCAGAAGGTCAGGAGCAGAACGATAGAACCGCTCGGCTCCGAAGCGAAAAGCTGAATATGCGCTGCATCTGCTGCCTACTTAAAGCAATATTATAAATCAGCAAAGTAACACCACTCTCCTCCTCCAGACATGATTTGAGCAGTGATTAATTAAACCGCTAATGTGTGACACTAAGTGTTAGCAGATCCCTCACTCATGCCTTCACGCCGCTAATGATTCGAGCAGCTCGCTCTCTTCCCTCTGTGTTTGTGCAAATATGATCTCGGGAAAGATTTTTCTCAAACCTTAGAAACCCCATCCGTTAGCATGACTGTTCCTGTGTCATCGGCACATATTTCTCTTGCGGTCGCTCCAGAGACGGCATGTCTCAGGTCTGGGAACGGGAACGATTCCTGAAGAGTCTGTAGACCCACAGCGAGAGAAGAACAGCGCATTCATGAAGCATGAAGAGCTGAATCAGCCGCATCTCTTAACTCGCCGCTGTTTGCAGAGCATGATGTCATTGCTCAGCCATGAGAGACTCTGAGAGTTTCTCAGCCTTCATACAGTCATTCGTAGTGGAAGCATGAGAGCTGCCCAGTAGGACGAGTGGCTTTGCATCAACAAAGCCTCTTTATGGTATCCGGCTGCTGGGATTTTTCCCGTGAATTACTGCGATTTGCTAAATGAATGCATTCTGAGCTGTATGCATGAAAAAAGTTGTGCTCTGGAAAGTGACCTTGACTGAGTTTCAGTCTTCATCATTTCCCTCCGTGCCTCCCGAGAGTCAGAAAGAGAAACGAAGCAGTGTGAGGGAGGTGTTTGCTCTGACCTCCAAATGGACAGGTCTCAGGTGGAATATTGGTTTCCTGTCCTTCTGTCGTCATCATGCATGAGTTACACAGACGTCTCACTGTTCTGTAACTAGCGGTTGTAACTTTAAAAGGTAGTTCCTGTTGGCATCTCGTCTGGGTTTTTCAGTCAAACATTACTCATTACTCCTGGCAGCTAAAAACACTCGGCTCATGCAGTTTGTGTTGAATTCGTTACAGGCTCATGTCAGAAGAGTCCACCCACAAGTCTATTATGAGTGACATTATTTTTCTTATTTATTTTTTGTTTTGCTTTTAGCATTTAATGTTATGATTTCTTTTTATTGTTAGTATTTGTTTATTTATTATCTGTGAAGCTAAAATTAAAATCCGCAAAGCACTTTTTCCTAAAGACATGGTTTAAGAAATTATTAATTAAAAAATTACTCATCGTGGCTGGTAAATCCTCAACTAGTGCACTTTGTCTTGTATTAGTAACACAGACTCTATTAGCCTATTATGAGTGATATTATGATGTTGTATTTTATTTATTTATTTTCATTTTGTAGTGTTTTTGTATTTACTTATATATTTATTTATTTTTAGTTTTAGTTATCATTTTTACTTCCAATTTTCATTTATTTTTTTTAATTGTGTGTTTTTTTTAGAATTTGTTTATTTTTAATTATTTGTTTCATCTTTTATGTTTAGTTATTATTTCAATTATTTATTTTTTATTTATTATATATATTAGTAACACAGACTCTATTAGCCTATTATGAGTGATATTATGATGTTGTATTTTATTTATTTATTTTCATTTTGTAGTGTTTTTGTATTTACTTATATATTTATTTATTTTTAGTTTTAGTTATCATTTTTACTTCCAATTTTCATTTATTTTTTTTAATTGTGTGTTTTTTTTAGAATTTGTTTATTTTTAATTATTTGTTTCATCTTTTATGTTTAGTTATTATTTCAATTATTTATTTTTTATTTATTATATATTTTTTTATTTATTTACATGTATGTATTTTTGAATGTTTATTCTTTGTATTTGTTTTTGTTTATTCTTTTATTTTGTTTAATTTTTTTATTGTTTTATTTCATTGTATTTTTAGTATTTATTTAATTTTTTAAGGTTTATTTATATAATTTTTTTATTGATTAATTTGTTTGTTTTTATTGTTGTTTTGTTTTTTGTATTTGTTATTTTTTGCATTAAATTTTTATTTATTATTGCGTGTTTTATCATCCGTCAAGCATAGAGTCTATAATAATATTATAGTTTATTTTATTTTATTTTATTTTATTTTTTTATTGTTTCTTTGTTTCATTCTCGGTATGCATTTTTTAATATTCATTGAGTTTGTATTTTTTATTTCAGTTTTTTTTTTTATGCTCCTTTTTATTTGTTTTATTTTTGTATTTATTTATTTATTGTCTTTATTTTTGCATGCTTTATCATCTGTTGAGGAAAATTGTAAATCATCAAAGTAACAGCACTCTTCTTCTCAAGACATGATTTAAGGAATGATCAATTCAAACGTTACTCATCCTGGCAGCTAAACGCTCAGGCAGTGCAGTTTGTCTTGTATTAGTAACACCAGGACAGATGTATGCTATAAAGAAATTCTCTGATTGCTGAGTAAGCTGTATACTAAACACACACTCATGCAGATTTGTAAATCATGATTCATCTCTGCAGAAAGACATCGGATGGCGACCCGAAGCGAAGCATCTGCTGTTGGTTATGACAGACCAGCCGTCTCATCTGGCTTTGGACGGTAAACTGGCCGGTATCGTGGTTCCTCATGACGGCCGCTGCCACCTAGAGGATAGCATCTACTCCCAAACCACTACTATGGTACGATTAACCAAACCAAAGCTCTTAACACACACAAAACATCAGATGCGAAGCTGTGGAGTCGTTCAGTTTTGGCCTGCGATGTGTTCCGAACCAATTCCATCTCTCTTTTCCTCAAAAATGCTTTCGTTTTGTATGGTCTGTTTCTTTAAAATGGACAAATGCTGTATAAAACACACGTATGGATGCGCTGGCAGAATTAGTTCTTCCATTACAATACCTTTGCACTGTTTTATATACATACAGTATATCATGGTGCTGAACAGTGTTGTTTTAGGATTATTTATGTACTGTTATAGTATTTATTAATATTTGAATTAGCTTTTGTTTTTATATTTTCAGTTTTTATTTTAGTTTAAGTTTTAGCACTTTTGTTACGTGCTTTTTTCATTTCAATTACTTTTTATTTTCAAATATTTCTATGAAGCTTTTTTTATTTTAGTTATAGCCGTTTTAGTACTTAAAAAAACTAATTTCAGTTAGTTGACAAGTCAATGTTAAGTTAAATATCCATCTAATATTTAATATTAATATTAATAATACAGTATTATTTATGTACTATCATATTTTAAATTAGCTTTTTTATGTTTTCACTTTTCACTTTAAGTTTTAAGGTTTAGTCATTTTGTTATGTGCTTTTTTCATTTTTATTAGTTTTTTTTAAATATTTCTATTTTTATTTCAGTTTTGGTCATTTTTATTAATTCAATTTTTTTCAGTTAGTTGATGTTAATGTTTTGTATGTAATTTAATATTAATAATATAGTATTATTTATACACACTTATGGTACTTATTCATATTTAGAATTAGTTTTAATTTTTGTATTTTAATTTTAGTTCAAGTTTTAGTAATTCTATGAGCTTTTGTCATTTTATTAGGTTTTTTAATAACTAATTTTAATATTTTTTTTATTTCAGTTTTTGTCATTTTAGTCATTCAGCTTAAACTTATTTCAGTTAGCTGCCAAGGCAATTTTTTTAAGCTTTTCATCTAATATTTAATATTAACATTAATGATGTTGCATTATTTATGTACTATTAGAGTATTTATACATTTTTGGAATTGGCTTTTATTTTTATATTTTCTATTTTTATTTTTAAGATTTAGGGATTTTTGTTATGTGCTTTTGTCATTTTATAAATTATTATTCTCATGTTTTTATTTTTTATATATATTTCTATTTAGATTTAATTTATTTTATTTCAGTTTTAGTAATTTTGGTACTTCAACTTAAATTAATGTTTACTTGAGATTTAAGTTTTTAATCTAATATTAATATTCATTTTATTTTAGCTTTATTTCAATTAACAAAAACAATTTTTATAGTTTTAGTTTAAGTTAATTCAGCAACAGTATCGTTATTGTTATCATATACCATAGAATGGACATGATTCTGCAAGGTACTTCAAAGAATAACATGGTATTACCACAGTACCATGTCCAAAAAACATGTTAAAGGGGTCATATGATGCGATTTCAAGTTTTCCTTTCTCTTTGGAGTGTTACAAGCTCTTGGTGCATAAAGAAGATCTGTAAAGTTGCAAAGACTATTTTTTGTTGATATATACCATAATGAATTATTATCATTCATAGTACTTTAAATAAAAACAGCTAGTACCATGCAAGCATGTCCAAAAGCATGGTCGTATTTTTTTGTACATGTTTCTTAATATCCTGTGTGTGCATTTGTTTGTCATGATGATTATCAATGGAAAACTGCAAACATATTTATCTCTGCACTGCTTCTCTCAGCACTGCAGTCTGTGATTTCTCAATAAGCAACAGCAGGTTTTTTTTAGGAGCACCCAACAATCGCTCAACTGGCTGAGAAACTTCTGGAGAACAGCGTTTACTCCATCTTTGCGGTCGACCAGGTGCAATATCAGTGGTATGAGGTAATTTCTCTCCCCAACATGAGTTTGGGTGTTTCCTCCTACAGAAATCAATCCGTTTTGCAATAGTGATTTCAAGAACACAGGCAGTGATTTATGGGAACACACACAGCGACTTGTTCAATTAGTGATTGTAGTGCTGGTTTAACAAATATGTGCATGAAAGATTGAGTTAATTAAATATTTTGGATTAAATGCAACCTCTGGTAAAAAAAAAATGCAAATACAAAACGTGCACGTACAAAAAAAATATGCAAAAAATGCTAAACTGAACCCATAAAATAACCAGAAGTTCATGCAAAAATAGTACCACCCCAAAATGACTATGAGTGATGACTTTAGAAACTCAGATTAACTTGTTTTCACTCATGCATTCGTACATTTTAACAAAAATACTATTGTAGCTTCACATCAGATCACTTCCATACTAAGTGTACAGAGTGCAACAGTTGACTTCCGGGAGAAAAAACTCCATTCCTTTTCTCCATAGGAAGATTGATTTTTAACAATAACTCAAAAACCTATCAAGACAGAACTACTATGAGCTCTGAGGTTGTACATCAATGGTATATGCTTTTGTTGAAACCATCTGTTCACAATTTTTCAACTTATTTTAGTATGAATCCTGTTTAAAAGCTGAATTTGTGGTGGAAAAACTACATTACCCATGATGCTGTGCAGAAAATTCCACCAATCAGAGCTCGGCAAATGATGTAATCGAGTGTCTCCATACATTCTCAGAATGCTTAAATATATATATATATATATATATATATATATATATATATTGCAATAAATCTAAAATATGTTGCTCAAAACCATATGACCTTTGTTTTTCTCTAATATAAATAGAGATATTTTCATACAATGAAAGTTCATGGTGACCAGTGGCTGTCTAAATAAATAAATAAAAGTAGTAGTAGTGTATTTTTATTTTATTTTTATTTTTATTTATTTATTTATTTTTTTTTTATGAAAGTTCATGGTGACCAGTCACTGTCTAAATAAATAAATAAATACATGCATACATTAATACATAAAAACATAAAAACATAAAAGTACTAGTAGTGTATTTTTTAGTTGATTTTATACAATACAATGTCATAAGTATTTTATTTATTTATTTTATTTCCCATGATGCTGTACAAGAAAATTCCACCAATCGGAGCTCGGCAAGGAACACTGCTCATGATGTAAATAAGTCTGTCTCAATATGATCTCAAAATGCTTAAATATATATGTATGACCGACAACTTTAAATGAATCGTTTTATATTTCACAATCCTGTTAAATTCAGTTATGTTGTTTGCAATGCTTTATGGGATTGTAGTTCAGTTTAAGTACAGCCTTGTCTCGTCCAATTTTTCAAATGCTTTTTCGCTTCAAATAAAAATTCATAATGTTGTGATTTTCCTCTAAGCTGGTAAGTTTGGTTCATGACTCATTACACTTTAACAAAGACATTTTTTACAATCCCTTTGGGTAAAATAAATAGAAAAAATACTTCGAGAACCACCAGCGCTGAAAAAGTGGGGGCACTAACGCTCTCAATTACTGTAAACACATTTTTGCTTTGAACATTATTATTTATCATCTTTTCCTCTGAGCAGGATCTCCTGGACTTGATTCCTGGAAGTTACGTGGGCCGCCTGTTTCCCAAAGCATCTAATCTAAAAGACTTAATAGTGCATGCCTACAAGGTAAACAGCTTTCACTCAATAGAAAGTAAACACTTTACTCTCTCCATCCACTCAAGGACAATTAGATTAGAAGTGCAGAAGGTCCCAAACATTTCAAAACGCGTGCTTTCGGTTTAACGGGGAAAAACACAGGCTGTAATGCCAGAGTCTGTTCCGGCATGCGTTTAATGAGAGGAATAATCTCGACGCAAGCACAACAATGCATTGTCCTCCCCAAAATCCACTGATCCTGGTGAACAGAAGCCTGCATTATAAACGGCCTCTGAT